TGTACCAAACATGTAGAGAGTTGCCTTTATTATTCCCCGGATGATACAGCATAGCAGATACTGATCTAGTATTTTCATTGTGTAAAGTATAAGTATCCAAAGACAGTTTAAAGTTTATATGAAGGTGTATTAGGTTATAGGAAAAGATGGTGTCATTTTATGCAAGGGAATGAGCATCCCTGGTTTTTTATGTCCCCTGTATAATAAGGGGTGACTCTATACCAAACCCTTTTCTTTACTCTTTTCTGGACCTTGGCTCTCCCTGTGTATATTCAGATATTCACAGAGCTTATTGGTGCACACTCCAGTGACACAGCAGGACACCTACACTACCAATGTGGGGCTTTCTCATTTTTAACAGCACTCGCCTGTAGTTTAAAAAAAATAGCCAATAGTGTGAACTCCTGGTTCTAAGATTTGGAACTGATGTCCTTCTACTCTCATTCCTTAACCCTTCCCACTTTCATCAAAACTCCCACTGTCACAGACATGACCACTTTCTCTTGGTGAGTCCTCAAGAGTTTTCAAATACAGAGTGTTCTTTACCTACTGGAACATTCTAGCCAATCTGTACATGTATATGTGACCTAAGAAGAAGACAAATAGAGACCTTTGTCCCTTCTCTGAGGATGATGGTTCTAGTCCCAGCTGACAGAAGGAATTGAGTTGTAGGGAAGCTTTGACAGATCCAGAAGGAACAAATGGAAGCAAATGAGTGCCAGGTTTTTGGGAGCACTGCCCAGTGAGTGGCATGAACTGCTGTATGCCAATTCGTTTTCTGCACCAGGTCATGAGCAAAGCAATATGATGATGAGAAAGGATAAGAACACTGTGAGATACAGGAACCATGAGCACCACTGGTACCAATACTTACATTAGCTACTTTTATTTTCTTGTTTTCTTGCACAGAAAGAAGCAAAATTACTCAGAATTTCAACATCAGCTGATGCATACAGGGAAGGGCTTGCAAATTTACTTGGATAGTTATCAATGTTTCCTTGGATCTTGCTGTTTCCCAGCTGAGAGTGGTGCTTCCTCCTTATGTCAACAAGTATCAGGCATTCCCACAGCTGCCAAGTGAAGGCAAACAGGAAGGGAACTGATTTCTCCCAATTGTAGTCAAGTGTTTTGGGGCCTGGGGGAAAGCAGCTACCTTCCTTTTAATACCTTGGGTTTGTAAATTGGTGAAGTAACCTGTCCGGAGCGAGGCCCGGGAGACAATTCTAAGTTGTGGCTCATTACAGACTGGGGATGCCCAAGAATGATGGCATAGAGGGGGCAATGCTGGAGGGATCACAAGGGAAGCCCATGGGGAAAGGCTTGTCTGAGGAGAAGAGGGCACAAAGCTTACATGCAGAGACAGCTTGTCTTTGAACTGAAGCTCTGTACTCAACAACTGAGTTATTTAAGACAAATTAGAATGTCTTCTCTCTAATGCTGGTTTCCTTATTCATACAATGGATATTTTAGTTTTACTTCAAAGACTTAGAATTAAGTTGATTAACATTAACAATTAGTATGTATGAGGCTTGGTACAGCCAACATTTATGTGTGTTAAACATAAAAAGTCAGAAGTCAAAATGGCACTTGACAGACACTGACTCTTGTTAATGTAAGCAGAACTAGGCTTTTTAAAGAGAAAATTCGACAGTGCATGGGATGGTTAGAAGGAATAGATGGATGGGTCATAGTGCTGGTGCCACAAAACCCCCACGGACAAGCAGGGCAAAAGGTTGTTGTCCTTGGAAGTGGGAGGGAAATGCCTCCACTCCCCCAGCAGAAATTTTATAGCCTTCCTACTTTCATAAGCCACCCACCTCTGATTCCATGTTTTGGGACAGGTGGAAGCTGCTATCTGCAGTTAGGATCATATTTGGGGTAGGACAGGCTAAGGCTCATCTTACGGTTGTAAAAGTTTCTTTGGTGAGTAGGAAGCACTACCTCACAAAGTTGGAGATGTCTCAATTTTAGGAATCCGAGTGAGAAATCAGAAAAAAATATTAATTGGTCTGGAGCACTGTGATGGCTAGTCTTACCTGTGTACTTGAATACATCTAGAGTTAACTAAAAACCCAAATGGCTGCGTATATCTGTGAGGGATTTTTTTCTTAAATCATTTGAAGTGGGGAAGACCCACTTTTAATCTGGATCTTTTGAAGCGGGAACCACCTATAATCTGGACCACACCTTCTTCTGGCAGCCTATGTAAAGGACATGGACAAAGGAAGCTTGTTCTCCTTGCCTGTTTACTCTCACTGGCCAGTCCATTCATTACTTCACTGGCATTGAGTCTACTTCACTGGGATTCCAGAGTGTACCTAAGACCGGCTGAGCCATCCAGCCTTGAGGACTGAACAACTACTGGATTCTTGGACTTTCTGCTGTTAGTCATTGTTGTACTAGCCTGTAAGCCAGTCTAATAAATCCCTTACACACACACACACACTCATTGTATCAGTTCTGTTCCTTTAGAGAATCCTGAGTAATAAAGGCACCAAGGAAGAAGGATTATTGCATTCAATGAATGAAACATCAGACCCCCATGCAAGGATAAACAATCACAGGCTATGTACACATTTTTATTGATCAAATCTGGATGAGTTCCTAAAAGTGTAAGGTAATAAAAATGTATAGAAGACAAAATCACCTAGATTTCTTTAAGACTGAGCAGGGGAAAGCACTCTGTCAGTTTCTCCCTCCAGGCCCAGGCCTTTCATCTACTGTAATCTTACCCCCTTCCCAAGCCCAAGCACTATTTTGTGCAACTTTTTTTTTTTTCACCCAATGAACTGTGGCTCATTGTCTGGCCGACTGATCAACCCTGCAACCACGCAGGCCCAGAACAAGAGTTTTGTGCTGGCCCACCCCAACATCCACACCAGTGTCAATGGTACAGCAGAGGCCAGGGTCCTCAAACCAGACCAATGATTCTTTTCCATAAATGCCTGCTTGCAAAAATAGATAAAGGGATTTAATGCGTGACTCACTGTGTCACACTGCAGCTTCCATGACAAGATTTTCCCCTTCTTCCTTTTCCCCCTCTTTTTCTCTTAAATTTTATTTTGTTTTATTTTTGGTGGGACAGGAGATGGGTGGGATAGGGAGGTATGATGGAAAAGACACAAGAATAAACAAATAAATAAATGTAAAAATCAAACAAAAATAAAACCATTGCTCATTGTCTTGCTGTGGTGCTCATAGATAATCATTCATGTGTGATGCCTCCTAGGGAATGTTTGCTTCCAAGAGTAGAACCAAGCATTTGAACTCTGAGAATGACAAAGTTGGGCATCCCTTTTTTGATTTCACACATTAAAAGCTTTCTTAGCATGCTGTAAAATCACATGAGAGAAAACATCTGCTTATTGTGTCAACTAGCCTGATAAAGGATTTATCTTCATCTATTTTCTAAAACACTTTCTTTACAAAGAAAAGAAACTTATTTCTGAAGGCTGTGGAGCTGAAGATTAAAAGCTGCATTTGATGAAGGTTTATTTATGTATTTTGTTTTGCTTTTTGGTACAGAGTCTAGTCCAAGTTGGCCTTGAACTTGTGAACCTCCTGCCTTGCCCTCCCAAGGTCTGGGGTTACAGGTGTGCTCCACTGTAATCAGCTAAAGTGAGGTCCTTCTTGCTTTATCATAGCATGGCAGAAGACATTGCAAAAAAGAGGGGGAGGAGGAAGGAAAGAAGGACAGAGGGAGAGAGAGAGAGAAAGAGAGAGGACTGCATTTTTATTACAAACCTACTTCAAGACAATAACATCAATCTACTCATGACTTCAGATGTCCTTGTGACCTAGTCACCTCCAAAGGGGGCTGGTTCTTGACACCATGATATCCAGTCTCAAATTACAGTGGACCCTATCCTTATGGCTGGCTGGCAGTAAATGACTCAGATCTGTCTACAGACAAAAGACTTCTTAAGGTCACCACTAAGTACATGCCCACACTTCTAGTCACTTTTTACACTGTCTGCCTTCTGTCCCATGAAGACACAGCCTCCCTTAAAAACCCAGTTCACCATGTTCGTTCCTCTCTCATAGGTTAAAAATAGCACACTGTTCAATGACCTCAATAATTTAGAATTCATGAATAAATAACTTGCCCAGGAGGCTACACTGGGGCTTCTATTTTTACCTAGAGTCTCTCACCAAGCAAAGTGACCTCTCCCAAGGACCCAACAGTGGCACCCATTGGCCCTCTGGCTTCCCGGGGAATGGTCAGTCAGTGCAGTCTTTCTTCAAGGACTACAATGGATTGATAGGTACTAGACTTCAGACTGTGCAAAAATTTAGGCATGCATGCCTTGCCAGGAAGTCCTAGATACTGTCCTGAGGGGAAGAGCTTCCCTCTCTTATGCACTTCCACCTTGATATTTTTGCCCTGTCTTGAAGCCAATGAAGTCAACTAACCATAGATAGAAGCCTATGAAACCTTGAGCCAAAATATATCGTTCATACTCAAATTGTTGCTCCTGGGTATTTGTGACAGCAGTGAAGAGTCTGACAGACATGTGTATCTTCAATGGCCATCACTTTCTCCATTTCTGTCTTCTCTGACAACTTCTGACAAAGCCACCAGGAGTAATGTCAATTCAAAATTCCTTGGTCTGAAATTCTTAATTATTACTGTAAGTGTCACTGAGCCAGGATACCGGCTATGGTCCATCCTTACTGTACAAAACAACTGTGATGTGTATTCATGACTACAGTGTATGTCAATCATCAACACCAGCCTTCAAAGAGCTTCTTTCTTATCTTCAAAAAGTAAAACTCAAAATTTTCAGGCAAGCTGTTCAAGAGTCTATTTAGCTTCTTGTTTTGCCTCATGATTATATCTTCAACCAACACGATCAAAAAGGTAACCCTTGGCTTTCAGGTCATTTTGTAGCGACGGAATACACTTCCCAGCAAGCTGAGAGGCTCGCTGTGTTATTGAGATTCTGCTCTGCTATTAGACTACATCTCCCAGAAATCCAGTGGGCAGAGACTGCCAGAGCAGCACCCACGTGCTAAGAAAGATTGGGAAAGGTGAGCCTGCTCGGCGCCGGTGGTCCTCAGAAGGCGGATACTCGAAGGGACTTCCTTTTCCTAGCCTTAAATTGGGGCGCAGTCCTCCTCCTTGGGTTTCTCTTTACTAGGAGGTTGGAGCTATCCCTGGATCTGGCTCACGGAGTTTTTGAGTCTTTCACTGCTGAGATTTCTTACATCTAACCATGCGTCTTTCGGCCCTGCTGGCCTTGGCATCCAAAGCCACTCCCGGTCTCAACCACCGTTGATGAGATGATGGGATGAGCCGACCAGGCTCCCTATCAGACAAGAGGAATCCCCAATGGAGCAGGCGGCGCCCAATGGTGGTAGAGCCCATCTCTGAGGAAGACTGGCACCTATTCTGTAGAGACATGGTGGGGATCTTAGAAGGCAAGGACGCTGGGAAGCAGGGCAAAGTGGTTCAGGTCATTCGAGAGCAGAACTGTGTTGTCCTGGAGGGGCTGAACACGCATTTCCGCTATATTGGCAGAACCAAGGATCATCGAGGGACCATGATCCCCAGTGAAGCTCCCTTGCTTCATAACCAGGTCAAGCTAGTGGACCCTGTGGACAGGAAACCCACTGAGATCCAGTGGAGATTTACTGAGGAAGGAGAGCGGCTTCGAGTCTCTACAAGATCTGGGAGAATTATCCCCAAACCTGAATTTCCTAGAGCAGATGGCATTGTCCCAGAAACATGGACTGATGGCCCCAAGGACACATCAGTGGAAGATGCTCTAGAAAGAACCTATGTGCCCCGGCTAAAGACATTAGAAGAAGAGGTGATGGAGGCAATGGGGATCCAGGAGACTCGAAGACACAAGAAGGTTTATTGGTATTGAGTCCAAGAGTGCTGCTTCTGCCTACTCAGTCTTCACCTTGAGGGTGGGGAATCCTCCTCCTCCAACACCAATAAAGAGCCCTGAGTGCAAAAAAAAAAAAAAAAAAAAAAAAAAAGGTAACCCTTGTTAGAATTACTCAGAGAAGCATAGTACATTAATTCGTTTTTAAATGTTTATTAAAAATCTTGTATGGGCTAGATTTTGATTGAAAAACATTCAAGAGTTCTGACTTTGAGAATCTGTAATTCTAGGATAAAGTTGCAATGGCTCTATAAGATTCCTTGGATTTTGTAGAGTAGAGATATGAAAGGGCTACTTTCAATATCATGTGAAAAACAGTGGTAAGAATAATAGCAGTGTATGCTGGTGTGGTGAGTAAATATGTCAGAGAGGAAAGGGAGAACTCTGGAAACCATGAGAAATGTGAATGGATGAGTAGACTAGTCTCGGATGCCTCAAAAACCAGGCAGAGGAGTTCCGGGTTGGTCCCAAAGAGGGAAAAAGCTCTTGTCATGATCCTGAGCTGGGGTTTTTAGTGAAGAAAATAGTTTCTTTGGGGTAAGAAATCAGTGGTCTTCTTCCTTGAGAGTGAACCATCTCTCTTGTTATGTGCAATTTAAAGAAAATCAACACTTGCCATCAGAGTCAAAAAGTAACCTCGCTCTGGCCTAGATGCAGAGTACAGAAACAGGACTGCGAGGCACCCCTCTCCACTTTCACAGTTCTCCTTTTCTCTGTAGCCCTCATCTCTCAGATCCACAATGATGCGGCTTGCAAGATGTTCCAAAGGCTGCTAATAAGATGCAGCAATAATGTATTCAGCTCATAGCCTTCGCTAGAAACCACACTACCCACCTCCTGGCTGCATTGCCAAGGTGCCTTGGAGGAGTGCACAAAGTCTGAGAGAGGCATAGAGGGAAAACAGGCCTCACCTAGGAAGGGCATCCCTTCTCTTCAGGCCTTCGGGGGGCATGGCTTCTCATTGACACATAAAGTCAGAATGAATGAGGAAAGCCAGTCAGGGAAGGAGACAGAAATGATTGAGGACAGAAATAATTTAGGAATAAAGAAGGGTAAAACAAGGAGAGACTTAATTATGCAAAGGGCACCTGGAGAATAATTGGCATTTCTGCTCATCATCTCAGAGTACAGAACAAGGCTTAGGCAGACTTGCAGCCACGGGACTGTGATCCTGTGATGTCTTCATGGGCCAACTTACTTCTTAAGGATGGGGTCCATAACGAGCCACAGCACACAACTGTTAAGATACCAGAGTGCTACTCCCAAATATGTGTGGCGTAAGGATTATTTTAAGGTGATTATTTCTGAGAAACTGTAAACACAGGGGGAAAAATGTGAAAACAGAGGAATTACTGTATTTTATGAGGAACGTACATCCCTACAGGAGGTTCCATTTGAATCTATTGGTATTTTCCTCTCTCTTCCCAGGAAAAGGGAGCTGGCTGAGCCGCTAGAGACTTACCAGTGGTGAAGGCTGCAAATTAAATAACTTTTCCTTTGTTTTCTGTATGTTTTCTTACATTTTTTCCTTCTTGGTTTCAGCAGACAATAATACTTAAGCCTGAAATCAAAGGCACTTCTTCCGAGTTTGCTTTTGGACGTTTCCCTGCCTGTCCCCACCACTCCCTGTACATAACACAAGTGCACGTGTTATTAAGTGCTGTCTGACGTGCTCTTGCTAATCTGTCTTTTGGCACGAGGAGTCCCAGATAAGAACTGTGAAGCTTAGAAAATTGTTTTCCCTTGCTTGCTAATGCAAAGCCTGTTGACAGGCCAGGTACCTAAGAAGGTGGCAAGGCTGTGAAAGCCACCTCCCTAGCTTCATAGGACAGCATCAACCTGTGTTTTCCTGGAGTGGGCTAAGAAAGGACAGAGGAGAAGACAGGAGAGGGCACTAGTTAGATTTCTCAGGTCCTTCATAACCAAGGAATCATGCCTTTCCCCCCCTTTCTAGTTGAGTTAAAAGAAGTTAGTCCAATTTTATTAGAATAATTAGGTCTGGAATGGGTTTGTGTGAATCTTCCCATTCTGCCATCTCCTTATTGCCTATGTCTGAGTTCCCTAGGTTTACCTGTCTCAAAAAACCAATCCAACTAACCAAACAAACAAACAAAAACCTATACTTGACCACTCCCAGGTCTCATGACACCTGCCCTTCTCTCATAATCTGCAATATGTTTGGTTTGAGTTGCACATTTGAGTCCTTGAGCAGACATTAGTTTGTATTATTTATGACTGATCAAGTATTGTTTCTTTCTTTTCTTTTCTTTTTTCTTTTTTTGGTTTTTTGAGACAGGGTTTCTCCATGAAGTATTGTTTCTTAATCCCCATTTGTTACCAATTCAGCATGGCAGTATTTTTGAACATTGTCATTTTCTCCTAGAGCCCTCTGCAGGATTCAAGAGCTAGAATAAGAGAAACACCAAATAATTAGATGTGTGGTTCGACCTTTATTAAGCATCTACTGTGTACAAGTGCTTTAGAATCTTTGCTCTCAAAGATGAGCATGTTAGTAAAATAGTCTATCAGATAACTGTGCATTTCGTTTGTCAGGGGTACTTGTTGGATACTTATAATAACAGAAAAACTATTATTGAAAGCAGTTTTGAAGCTAGTTCCCTGCCTATGGAAAAGAAAAGTTGAAGAAAAAAATTATTTGAAATTGAGCATGAATTTTCATCAGAAAGCTAGTATTGGAGAATACCGCATAGGCTTTGTACACTGGTGGCTGTTCTGACTGCTGCAGCTAGGTGACTGTAGGAACCTGGGGAGTCCCAGAGAAAAAATGGAGTGCAGCTGGTTCTATTATTCTCTGGGAAAATCAGCCCACAGACTTCTGGTGGCAAATTGTTATGCATAACCAGGAACCCAAGGGCAAGATCCCAGGAACGATACATCTAAAAAGCAAACAGACACGCTAGACTGTGGAGAGAAACTTAAACTCTGCTCTGACTGACAGCAGCTAAGGATTGTTGAACACACAGAACTCTCAATTTCGTCAACTCTTTCTCCTTCTATATCATCTTTTGGGAATATAACATCTTGGAATTTGTCATATTTATTTAAAGAAAGTATGACTGCAGATGGTCCTCAGCTTAGGATGGTTCAACTTGTGATCATATGAATTTCAAATGATATATTTTCAATAGAAACCATACTTTGAATTTTGGTCTCTTCCTGGGCTAGTGACATATTGGAAGACATTGCTGTGGCATTGGTGGCAGAAGCTGTTTCCAGTCAATCACACAATCACCAGAGTAAACAAAGGGTATTCTACACTGCCCTGTATTGCTAAGCTGTGCTGTTCCATAGATTAGGTGTTCCAAGTACATTTTCTACTTAGGATAGCTTCAATTTATAAAAGGTTTATTGGCCTGTACTCCATCATTAGTCAAGAGGCATCTGTGTTGAGTGAAAGACCATAGAAGTATCTCCATTAAGCTTCTCCATGAAGTACCAGAGACAGAATTGTTTGTTAGTGACGATTTGATAGCTCAGTGAAATTGTAGTCAAAAGCTGCAACTGGGAAAAGCTCCACTTAAATGATAAAACTGTGAGACATCCTAACATTATGTCATAAATGTGACATCATGCAATTACATCAAATAGATCCTAGTCAAATGCCCACCAAAGACGATGGTCACAGTTTCATCTTCAACAATTCAGAAACCCTTGAGAATCTCATGGTATCCTAGCATTCTTCTTAAGAGACATTGCTTTGATTATGAAATTCTGGACATTTGAATTTTCTGGTTATTTGTATATAATGGCAGTATTATCATAAATCAAAAAATAAGAGGTAGAATTTAGGTTTCAGGTATGTGTTTCTTACTTCTATTAGCTTTCCTTGGGGTTCTTCATACTTTTGCATTGCTATTATGTTATGGTAACTATAACAGCAGTTGAATATTTCTTATACTATCTGAAGTTCTCAAGACCTTTCATATACTGGCACACATGGGAACTGATTTACATTAATGGCTCCCTGAGAAAATGGGGGAGGCTGAAGAATGAGCTAGATCCCTCATCTGTAAGTCATCTGGACACTTGGGTAGGGTAGTCTAGAAACATCCTTTAAGGAGCCACCACATTCATGGATCTCAACCCATCATGGAAACATATTGCCCTTCATCATTTCCATGATCTCAGAACAGCCTTGTGAGTGAAAGGGCAGTTCTAGGAGTTGAAAAGTGTTGAGCAGCCTCACGGAAAGGAGGAGCTGGCACAGGTTTCTAGGAGACAGCAGCTGCTGTCCTTAGGGAATTTTGCTGACAGTATGAGAGTAGAGCATGATGTCACAGGAACCCTGGCTTGGCCAGCGCAGTGTGGCATCCAAGGCAGCTGATCTCTTCATCCAGTTTGAAAAGATTTCTCCTCCTCCTGCTTTCCCATCCCCCTCTTCTCCATGCCAATCTGAGTGATAATTGTAAAACCACGCAGCTCCTTTCAGAAGTAGGCCATGAGATCCAGGGCTGGGTGTTATCATGGCTGGCATGCTGCAATTATCTCTGAGGATGCTCAGATGACAGAATAATGCATGTGGTGCTTTGTGCTAAAAAAGTCAATGCCAGTGGCCTGGCCAAAAGCAAAACTTCCTAGAGATCCAAACACAATCTTAGAGTGCCATATGATCCGCTTAGACCCCAAGGTATGGCCACCTTTCCTCATCATCAAGATTCTTCCTGTGAAGCAGAGCATTAAGCCAGTCTTTGGGAAGCCATGAAAATAAGACATTCTTCTCAAATCAGGACTGCTTAGCTTTTAACAGAGTGGTGAATGATGCTTTCTTAGGTGCCTGTGTCAGAGTCCAAAATTCAGATTTATCTGAACTTCAGGGGAGAATGTCAGCCTGAGAACAGGATTTTAAGAAAGTCTGAATTCTAAGTGTAACATTTTGTAGCTGTGTGACTCTGAGAATTTTAATCACTTTCTAACATTAATTCTAAAAAAGTAGCATATTATTACTTTCTTTTTATTAAGAAATTTTCTATTCATTTTACATACCAACTTTCATAAAACACAATAAAATTATATGATTAAAGAAACACAAGTGAAATATGTAATTTAA